GGTACCATCTTACCCTGTGTGCTGGTGTATCTTACTCTACACTGTGTACTGGTGGGTGTCTCCTTACCCCCTACACATGCACTGAGTATAGGTATATCTTATACACACCTTATATGGTGAATTTATATCTTCACTTACCTGTGTACTGGTAGATATATCTCACTCTACACATACATACTGGTGAATATATCTTACATATTACTGGTGGGTTATCTCCTCTACTTATTACTGGTAGATTAACATCTTACCTACACTGTATACTGGTGGGTGTATCTTACCTACACTGTGCTGGTGTATCTTACCCCTACAATATTACCAATTCTCCTTACCACCACGGTGTGCTGGTGGGTGTCTTGCTACCATATTCTTTTAGTGGGTGTATCTTCTCTACACTGTGCATGCTGGTGGTGTATCACTCCCATGTGCTGGTAGGTGTATCTTACCTACACACTATGTGCTGGTGGGAATTCATCTTACTCTACACACTGTGTACTGGTGGGTGCTCTTACTCTACACTGTGTGCTGGTGACATACCCACCACACCTTGTGCATTGGGTGTATCTTACTCTGCCATGTGCAGTGGGTTAACATACCCTACACTGTGTATAGATATGTCTTACTGTGTACTGGTGGGTGTATCTTACTCACATGCTGGTGGGTGTATCTTACACTTGCTGGTGGGCTCTTTACTCTACACTGCCAGCACTGGTGGTGTGTATCTTACTACATGTACTGGTGGGTGTATCTTACCATACACTGTATGCTGAGTAGTGTATCTTACTCACCACATGTACTGGTGGTGTCACTCTACACAGCACTGGTGGGTGTAATGCCACTTTGCATGCTGGTAGGTGTATCTTTTTCCCTGTGTACTGGTGCCTACACTATGTACTGGGTGTATCTTATACCATAGCCAACACTGGTGGGTGTATCTGCCACACATGCTGGTGTATCACCCACACCTGTGCGTGGGTGTATGCTACTCTACACTGGCCTGGGCGGGGTGTATCTTACCCTACACTGTACTGGTGTATCTTTTCACGCATGCCTGGTGGGTGTATCTTCTCTGCACTGCAGCCTTAACATTGGTGTCCACCTTGTCTGCATTGATTGTATCTTACTCACTGTGTACCCAGGTGGGTGTATCTTACTCTACCTGTGTACTGGTGGGTGCTCACACTACCACTATATGCTGAGTGAGTGTGCTGCCCTCCCACTGTGCTGGTGGTGCATATCTTACTCCCTGTGTACTGGTGGAGTGCTTCTTACTCTACACTGTGTACTGGTAGGTGTATCACCCTCCCCTGTGTACTGGTAGGTGTATCTTACATGCACACACAATGGTATATCTTACCACATAGCATGAGGTAGGTGCTATCTTACTCTACTGTACTGGGTGGGTGTATCTTACCTCATACACCATGCTGGTGTGTCACACTCTACACTGTGAACTGGGCTGTCCTCCCTGTCCATGCTGGTGTGTCTTTACTCTACACTGCACTGGTGGGTGCATCTTACCTACACTGGCACATGCTGGTGGGTATCTTACTCTACTGTGCTGTGGTGTGTCTTACTACTGTGGGTGCCTCTTCCTGTGTACTGGTGGTTGTATACCTGTGTACTGGTGGGTGCATCTTTTTCACACCACATGCTGGTGGTGCCTGCCCACCCACCACACTGGTGGGTATATCTTACCGTACCTATGTGCACTGGTGGGTGTATCTTTTCACATGTGCTGGTGGGTATCTTACTCTACACTGTGTACTGGTGGGTGTATCTTACACCTGTACTGGTGGTGTATCTTACTCTACACTGTGTACTGGGTAGAGTATATCTTACTACCTGTGTACTGGTAGGTGTATCTTAGCTATACAACCTTTTGTTGCCTACACATATACTAGGTGTATCTTAGGCCTATACTGTACTAGCATTTCTCCCCACTCTACACTGTGCTGGTAGGTCTATCTTACTCTACACACATGTACTAGTAGGTATGTCTCTCTACATATGTTGAGTTATCTTACTCTTCACGCAGTAATACTGGTGTACCCTGTGTACTGGGTGGGTGTCTCTTCTTCACTGTGTACTGGTGTTGGGTCTTCTTGCTCCCACTACATATTTTCGTGGTTGCTCTTACTCTACACTGTGCTGGTGGTGTCTACCTCTACACACTGTGTGCAGGTGGGTGCATATCTTACTCTACCCCTGTGCTGGTGGGTGTGTCTTACTTCCTGTGTGCTGGTGGGGTTATGTCTTACTATATAGCCACTGGGCGTTTCATATCACACTACTCTCACAATAGCCTTGCTGGTGGGTGTATCAGCAACACATATGCTTTTGGTGGTGTGTCTTCCCCACCTACACATATTACTCAGGTATCTTGCCACTGTGTACCCAGGTGATTGTGTCTTACCCTACACTGCAACCAGCTGCTGGTGAACATATCTTCACTCTACATGTGCCGGTAGGTGTATCTTACCCCATGCTGGTAGGTGTATCTTGCCTCCTGTATGCAGTGGGTGTATCTTTACTACCACATGTACTGGTGATTATCTTCCTGTGTACTGGTGGGTGTATCTCTTACTACACGCCAACACTGGGTAGGTGTATCTTACTCTCTCATAGCCACTGGTGGTGTGCTCTTACTCACATGCAGGTGGGTGTATCCTCTACACATGTACTGGTGGTGCCTCCTCACCTGCTGGTGGGTGCCACCACTACACTGTGTGTGCTGGTGGGTGTATCTTACTCTACTGTGTGCTGGTGGTGTATCTCCCCACTTTGTACTGGTGGGTGTGTCTCTACACTGTGTGCACTAGTGGGTGTATGCCCTCCTGTGTACTGTGGGTGTATCTTCACTGTGTACTGGTAGGTGTGCTCTGCCTCTACCAGCCAACTTTTGGTGGGTGCCATACACACTGTGCTGGTGGTGTCTCCTCCTGGCATGCTGGTGGAAGTCTGTCCCCACCCCTACCCCTGTGTGTGGTGGGTTATATGCCACTGTGTATAGTGGAACATATCTTACTCTACACCTGTACTGGGTAGAACTCTTTTTCTATGTGCTGGTGGTGTATCTTACTCTACACAATATTTTAGTAGAACATATCTTACCTACTGTGTACTGGTGGGTGTATCTTACTCCTGTGTACTGGTAGGTGTATCTTACTCTACACATATACTGTGGAGTGCCTCTACACATGTGCTGTGTGCTCTTTTCCCACCACTGTGCGGTGCCTCCCACCCCTACCTGTATACTGGTGGTGTATCCTCACATAGCAGCTTGCTGGTGTGTCTTACACACACTGCAAGTGTGCCCACCTACCATGTGGTGTATCTTACCCCACTGTGCTAAGTGGGTGTATCTTACTCCCCACTGTGCTGGGTAGGTGTCTGCATACACACTTTGTGTATCTTCTCCCACCTGGCATGCTAGGTGCTATGCACCTACACTGTATTTTTGGTGGGTGTGTCTTACTCTACTGACACTGGTGGGTATATCTTACCCTGTGCACTGGTGGGTGTATCCTTTCCACACCTGTGCTGGTGATGTATCTTTACCCTGTGGCTTTGGTGGTTGTCTACTCCCTGTGTACTGAACATATCTTTACTCTACACTGTGTACTAGTGGGTGACATCTTACACACTGTGCTGGTGGGTGTATGCCTCTACACCCCAACAGCACTGAGGTAGGTGTATCTTACCCTACATGCTGGTGCATTCATATCTTACTCTACACTGTGTGCAGGTGGGTGTATACCCTACACACCAGCCAGCCACTGAGCAGTGTCTTACTCCCTGTGTGCTGGTGGGGTATCTTTTCTGTAACCTGGTGGGTATATCTTTACTCCACATGTGCTGGTGGGTGTATCTTACCCCTACACTGTGTACTGGTGATTCTCTCTTTACACTCACACATGGCACAGTGGGTGTATCTTACTCTACACTGTGTGCTGAGTGGGTGTATCCTCCCACATGCTGGTGGAATTATATCTTACTCTACATGTGCTGGTGGTGCTCCTTACTACTATGCTTTTTGGTGGGTTTTCCTCCTCTACACCATGTACTGGTGGGTGTCTCCTCTACATGGCCTTGCTGGTGGTGTATCTTCTCTACACTGTGTACTGGTGGTGCCTCTCTTACTCTACCCTGCCCCATTGGGTGTATCTTACTCTACACACATGCTGAGTGGAACTATCTTACTCTCACTGTGTGCCTGGTGGGTGTCTCCCCACCCCTACACATGTGCTGTGGGGTGTATCACTCTACACACTGTATTGTACTGGTGGGTGTATCTTACCCCTACACACTGGCTGTACTGGTGGGTGTATCTCTCCCTGCACTGGTGGGTTTCCTACTCCCTGTGTACTGGTGGTGTATCTTACTCACGCATGCCCAGTGGTGTATCTTACACACTGTGTACTGGTGGGTGTATCTTACTCT